CCCCCCCCCCCGGCCGCAGCTTCTGGGGCGCGACACGATCCCGGGCTGGGCTCAATTACGAGCAGGAATTTCAGCCATTTTAGTTGCTTGTTTTTTTGGTGGGTTTGGGGGGTTTATTTTAAATTCCCTTCGTGGAAGCGGGAGAGCGGAGAGGCGGGGGCCGCGGCGTGGCGCGGGGAAGAAGCCCCGGCGCCGGCGCTGGTGCGAGGCGCTGCCGGGGCTGCCCCTTCCCCGCCGGCCCGGCCGCGCGGCGCTGCCGCCGAGCCCGCGCTGCGTCTGCGTCTCCGTCTCTGTCTCCAGCGACCTCCCGTCTCGCTCTCCTGGAGAGGGGCCGGTCGGTGTGAGCGCAGCCCCGCAGGCGGCGGCTCAAAGACCAGTGTAAAGTAACGCATGATAAAGATGCAGCCCGTGAAAATGAAGACCGGGCTTCTGCGTCTGTAAGACTCATGGGGTATATACATGTATGTATACTATAGATCTGTGTATGTATGCACTACGTATTTATATATACCTACACTATCTGTCTGTGTACATGCACTGTATATCTATCTATATGTATACACTATGTATTTATGCGTATGCACTATATATATCTACGTGTATACACTATATATATACCTACTCTATCTATCTATACCCACACTATATAAATTTTTATATATGTGTGTGTGTGTGTGTATATATATGCACACGCACTATATATCTATTTCTGTACTCTAAAACCATATATATATAAAATATATATGTAGCATTATAGTGATAGATAGCATATCTACATCTGTAAGACTAATATATTAGGTATATTTTATAGTAATAGCATATCTTTATAAGGCTAATATGTAGTGTACTATATATTATAGTGATGTAGTAGATCTACATCTATCTGTAGGACTTATCTATAGAATATATAGTATATATAAAATAGTATAGTAAGGTAGAGCAGTATCTAGTATAATCTTTAAGATTAGCGTATATCTATATATTATTATTTTATTAATATATATTCTCAGCCTCTTGAAGGCTCAGATCGAGTGTAATATCTATATGTATAAGGCGGATATGTAGTGCATGTATTTATTATATATTGTAGTAATATATAGTACTATGTAGTCTATAGATCTATGACTAGTAATATAGAGTACATTATATAGTAATACGTGATCCTATACAGCGTATCTCTGCCTAGAAGGTGAATCGCTGGTATGCATGTTCGAGGTACTGTAACATTTATATCAGTGCAGCGAGGGGGCTGGTTTCTCCGCGCTGACAACAAATCCTTGGCCCCAACGCCAGGCGGGAGAGGGGTCGAAGTGATCCGTGTCCGTGCCCGCGCCTCCCGCAGCCCCGTCCCCGCAGCTCCCCGCGCTGAGCCGGGCTCCAGCGGGCTTGGATTCCCAGCCCGTCCCAGGGCTGCTGGAGACCCTGCCCTGCCGGGGACGCGGATGGGTGTGGCGGACAATGGGCCACGGGGAGCGAGCGGGCAGGCGGGCAGGGAGCGCGGCCCGGTGGCAGGGCCCAATCCTGGCTAACCCACTGCGTCCATCCTGCAGGCAGACGTCGCGCGGCCCGTCGCAGCGCCATGGGACGCGCCCAGCCCGGGGGGCCCCGCTCTGTCTGAGCCCGCGCGGGAGGAGGATGGATGGCCGCGACTTCGGGCCCCCCCGAGCCGTGCATGTGCCGCCACCACTGCTGCCCGGGTTGAGCATGGAGGGCCACCGCGTGGGAGCCGCCAGCGCCGCCGGCCGCCTCGGCCCCTCCGCC